AAATATCTTGAAAAGGAGTATAGACAAGCATATATACAGAAAAAATAATCGAACTATATATCAGATTTTTCAAACATTCATCAAAGATAAAGAGGTTTTCAGGATTAAGAATAAAAACATGAAAATATATGTATAGAATATCAAATTGATATTTGAAATTAGAGATGGAAACAAGCAAATAAATCTTAAGAAGCATAAAGCTGTAAGGATGAGAAACAAGACAGTTTTTGAAACAAGGTGTTTTCTAAAAGTAAAAAGGTTGACAAAGAGAGAAATAAATAATGCGTTTAAAAAACTAAGAAACATAGAAAATAAAAAACTCACCAATGAAAATGTTCGAGACATGTGCAGAGTTTTGGTTCTTAAAATTTTTATATCCCTCTTCCTGTCAAACAACAAAAGCAATCTCCCATTTGCATACTTAGAATATGTTGAAGATATAAAGAGCATTGCACAATACAACTACACAGAACATATGTTTGAATTTTTCAAAAAATCTTAGGATTAAAAAAAGACACCAAAATAATTGGTTGCATGATGATGATTTTGGTAAGAAAAAAAATCAACTATTTAATTGATTTTGTTCAAATATAAATCATATAATTCAATAACATTGAAAATTCAAATGAGCAGTATTGGTTTTGCGAGTACACAAAAATCATTGAATCAATTGAAGAAGAAAGAATATCAAGGTGTACAAAATGAAATTTACTATATCTAGAAATAGAATTAAAAAAAAAAATCATTTATAGTCACAAAGGCAAGTAAAAATTTCAAACTTTTAAATTATTGTTGTCTGATTGTAAATGTCAATCTGTATTTAATATATTAATACCTCAACTTCATGTGTTACAATCTCAATCTGATCAGTTACCTTTTTCATTTTATTTGTTACTGTATCATTAATAATGTTACCGTCTACACATTCATGTAATTTTCAATATTATACTTAAAGGCCACATAAAAAAAAATTAAGTTGTTGAATATTCAAAAAGTTGTCGAGCTATTAGAAGAAGAAATAAGCTTTTTTTTGCTAAACATGAGAATGAGAAGGAAAAAGAATCGAGCTATTAGAAGAAGAAATATAGCACAAGCTTTTTTCTGCTAAACATGAGAATGAGAAGGAAAAAGAGATAAGATAGTTGAAATGTGATAATCATAAATTAAAATATCAACTCAAAAAAACCGAAGAAAAAGTCGAGATATTTGAAAAGATAAAAAATTTCCAAAATGCAAAAATTAAAAAGCTACGAAGAGAATATGCAGGAATCATAGAAGCATTAAACAAGAAGAATGAGTTGAAATATAAAAATTGAAAATTGAAAAATCAACTTAAAAAGGCTGAATAAGAGGTCAAGAGATTTGAAAAAGGAAAAAGATTTTCAAAATACAAAAATTGAAAAACAGTGAAATATATATATATGAATCATTGATGCATTAAGCAAGGACAATGCTCAAATAGAAGCAAGCTAATAAAGCTAACTTTTGAAATGGCAAAAACAAAAAAGCAAGCTAAAAAAAAAGAGTTATCTTTAAAAGTCCCTAAGACTAGATCAATAGTAATTGATGTTAGAGAAATGAAAATGAAGGAAATAGACAAGCAAAAAGAGGAAGGAAGGAAAAAATAAAAACTAAAAAGAATAAAAATGTCATAAAAACTAAGCTACCATAACTGAATAATGATCTTTAACTAGTGAAACTTTTGAAGAAAAACACATTGAATTTTAATTTGATTGACAAAATTCAACAAGATAAGTACAAAATATGATAGCAAAATCTTAACTTTTATTGTGTATAATGTCTAACTTTTGAACTGTTACTGTCTTAATTTTGAACTTATACTGTCTTAATTTTGTTTTGTTATTATCTATAATATCTTACTTTTGAACTGTTACTGTCTTAATTTTAAACTATTACTGCTAATCATATCTAACTTTTGAACTATTACAATCTTAATTTTGAACTATTACTATTGATTAGTACTTAAAAGTACATTTTTATCAAGGTTTTATATCATCATTTTGCACTTAAAGTATCAATAACTCCTTAACTAAAGCATGTTTTATAATAATATATCTAATAATATAAGATACCTTTAATTTGTGGTAAATGCTCATTTTAAATGCAGGCCTATCACATAAATGAAAAGATTGATTGATGA